TAAAACGTACGAAGTTACTAAAAATTTAATTTGATAAAATTGGGTAACAGACTTGAATTAGTGAAAATTGCTACTAAAGCCGATTAAAATAAATAAGGTAAAAGTACCAGTACGTGAACACTTCCTAAAATGGCACCAGTAGATTGAACAGCTTGAATAAACTATTGTCAATTTAAGTAGATAAAAAAAAAAATATTTCTGATATCCTTTGACCGTTCTTTAGATAAAACAAAATTTATATAATACCAATGAAATTAGAAAGAAATTTTTCGATTTGGTTATTTGCAATACATGATAAAACTAGAAATCAGTAGTAGGCAGCTAACATAACCTCTCTCCCATTTAATTAACATGGGATGTTCGAGTACTCGGTCAAAATACGTAAGGGATAGTGGGGCAGCGTGAGTTTGTAGGGTAACTCGGGCACCTCATGTACTCAATGAAAAAATTAATTTTTTTCTCTCAAATAAATTTTTTTACATTGTAAAATATCAACACTATTTTCCTCAAAGAGTATCATGATAAAAAGTAATTAAATAATTTGTAAAAATTTATAAAAATATTTTAATAAATAACCCTGCGGACAATGATAGCTTCACGGCTTCTTTTTACAATAAAAATTATCTCCAGTAATTATCTCGTGAAGTTTCTCCAACAGTCTGTTTGATTTACTTTCAAGATCCGTTGAAAAAAAAATTTTATCTTCCACCATTAAAAAGTTATATTTATTTCAAAACATGGCTTCTAGGGGACATGATGGGCACCGCGCTTGAGGCACAATGAGCCTGAGAACTCTGCGTCTGCAGCAGACGCTGTCATTCTGTTCGAATCAAAACAAAGCTGATTAACTTAACCTTAGTCTTAGCTTTGAATTTCTCTAGTCTGTCTTATTTTATAAGTAAGTAAGTTTAACTGTGGATCGTGACTTGACTAAAAATAAGAATGGTATGTGACGATACAAAAAGGAGATGGAGAGAAATATTCATAATATTCAAATCGAATATTTAAAATATTACACAAAGTGATTCTTTGGTAAATTCAGTTGCTATGAATCCTATAAATTTTAGTTCTTTTTTCCTACAATCTTAAACTGGCAAGACTGAAGAGGTTTTTTACGTATATATTTCATTTTAATGAAGCTTTATTTTTATAATATTAGAGTGCAACATTGATGTGATATTGGCATACAGTTATTTGTACTAAGCACAAAATTTATGAGATTAAGGCAAGATGTTTGTGGTATTAAAATAACTTATCTAACAGATTGTAATGTAACTTGTGATATTACATGTAATGTACAATGATTTAACAAATAAATGTTTAATGTTTCTTAAATAAGTTTTTTATGTTTGTTAAATATCATTAAAAATTAATTAATATAAATACTGTTGTTCACCTACCATCGAATTATTTCAATCATCCCGCGCTCATCGTACCCTACAGCTATGTTCACTGTGCCCGCAGGGGGGCAGAATGAGCATTTTTAAGAACTATATTTTATTATATGATAACTAATTATTTATTGATTTATATATTTTTTATTTCGGGTAGTTTTATTCTATGTGTCACGCTCTGAAAGATGCTCAGCTGGAGAATTATATTTAAGGTGGAAAAAAATTGTAAGAGTGTAAACAATAATGGGTGCCCGTCATGCCCTACTATCCCTTATCGGTACCAATACCTGAACATGCTGCTCATCTACTAGGTCATTGATAAACAAACTTTAAAGTTAAGTTATTAATTGTATACGCAACCTAGAAAAAACTTTTTTGTTTTCTTATGATAGGAAAAAATATAAACTTACTGGCGCAATGACTGTTTTGTTGTTATGCAATTCAGAAATTCGATAAAAAATGAGAAAACAAAGACTTTATGAAAAAAGTGTTCACGTACTGGTACTTTTACCTAAGTGTACTGAAAATTTTTTATTCATGTCATTAAAATAAAAGTAGAACAATTTCTTCAAAATGCCGATTCAAGTCAATTGACTTCACTATCACTTTTGCCTATTGGAACCGATTGATTTGCCCAGATCCAAAATCCCGTTTTAAGTCAATTGACTTCAGTATTACTTTTGCCCATTGAAACCGATTGACTTGCCCAGATCTAAAATGCCGATTCAAGTCGATTGACTTCAGTATCACTTTTGCCTATTGAAACCAATTGACTTGCCCAGATCGAGCATGTTGATTCAAGTCGATTGACTTTAATGACACTTTTGACTATTAAAGTCGATTGAAAATGAAAATATCCCAAAGTCCCATTAAAGCTGATTCATTTCAATCGACAAAATAGTGCAAGCCAATTGGACCTGAACTCTTCTTTTATAGCAGGGTACATGAATATTTCTTATTTACAATGTATAAAAATGATTCATATTCTTATTATAGTTACCATCAGTCCACAAGCAACTGTAACTAAACTATGCTGTGAAGTACTGGCATTAAAGACAATTATAAATTGTATGTGTAGATGGAATGTGATATTCCCTTATATGTCTTGTTACTCTTTCTACGTGAATAAGCAAACTTGCTTTTATTTTTCAATAACTTTTTCATAACTTGATTTTTTAGTTTCATACAAGCTTATTTATTAAATACGTTAATTTGTCATTTACTTGATTATAATTAGTAATACACAGTAAGCAGTATAGTGAAACCACATAAGTTTCATCTGATTATCACTTTTAATATTATAATACACTATGCACGCTTGTGTACTACAACTTATCATGCACATATAGTAGAAAATTTTGAAAAAAAGGGACAAAATAAAGGAAAGGAATTGAGCTCGTTTCGTTCTCGACTATTATAGGTGAACTCATTAGTACGGAGTGTTAGTGATCTTAGCTGTAAACAAACACGACTTATACTTACTCGTAATACCTAATGTTACAGACAAATAAAAAGTAAGCACATAAAGAGCAAGTATGTCAGTCGTGTTAGTCTACGGCTAAGATCACTAGCGCACCGCACTAATAATTTCAGCTAGTGGTCGAGAATGAATCAAGTTCAATTCAAACGGCATACAAAATTATTGAGGAAGCTGTCTACATATAGTGGGAGGTTCTATTGGCTTTTTTTAGGTAAGTATTGCGTGCATTTGTTATATACATGGGGACGGTCCCATGTGTTGTACTTGCGAGGAGACCCCAGCTTGTCGAGCCATCTTTTCTTCCATTCTCCAATCACAAAAATTTTCTTAGCATCTTTGAGATTTTCTCGTAGTACATTCCCAACTTCTATACAGTTTTTTTTTATTCTTTATTTTTTATATTATAGTGCTCTACGTCCGGCTCCTTTTTAATAAGGGCACTACTATGGGCACTTAGCACTTTGAAGAAGGAAGGGAAGAGGAGATGGGAGGCCTCCCATTACTGGGAGGGGGGTAGGGGAAAATTAGGCAATTATGATGCGAGGAGATCGCCTAAACCCTCCTCGAGGAGCATTGCGGGGTAAAAAAGCACATGTGAAAAATCACAGAGGTACTTGCCCGACAAGTCGCACTGGCCGGGAATCGAACCACGGTCTCCCGCGTGCCAATCTAAGCCTAGCTGACTGAACCACCGCGCGCTCTTCTATATAGTTAATATTACAAGATTTCTAATGTAATCCATGATAGTAAAGATCAGGCAATAAATTTTCAAATTTATACTTTTGACTTAACTTACGCCAAGGAAATGGTGGTTTAAAAAGAAATACATGTGGTTCAACGTTCTCACTAAATGAAAGAATTGCTAATTTTTGTAACACATAATCATTGCCAGGCTTTTTAAAGCCTTGCATGTCCATTACATACTCCATCACAACATAGACTGAGTTAAATGACTATTGTTTTATTTTTTATGAGCAATTTTATACAAGTTTCCTCACATCCCTACTCACGGGGTTATACTCGACTATGCAATCATGTAGAATCAGACAATAAGCAGCTGTTCCTTGCGAAAAAATATCTCTTGTCTCGAATTCCAAACGCACATCAACTGGTGCGCTTTTCAAAGCTTTATTTTGTTTTGAACAGTCAATAACAATGAGTGGCATGTATGTAATAAAATCGTTTTTATTAATCATAGGTTTTCTTTCTTTACCATAACAGACATTATGAAAATTTGTATATATATTGTTGAGTAAAGAAAATTGATTATGATTAATGTTGAGATTGAGATTTCCATAGGGGTAGTACTGAGAGTTATTGATCATCAGGTACTTTTATGTAATTATAAGTATGTATGAATTCTATCAGTTTACCTCCAGAGTGTAATAAAAGAATACATTAACAAATTTTTAATTCAAAACAACTCTTTTTAAATGATAAGAAAGTTTATTTTAAGTAGAAATTTTTTTTTAAGTACTTACAAATATTTCTCAGAAAAAAGTAGGGCAAAGGCCGTGTTATATAGTCAATTTTTAAAAAAGATTCTACACAAGCAGTGAAAGAGCAGTAAAGGACCAGATAAATAATGTGGGTCAGCGGTGCTGGGCAGATGGAGTGCTCTCAATATATTTATTAATTTAAAATAACACAGCAATTAGATAGATTTTCTCCTAACTTGTGGGGGGCTTTTTGAATTATTGGGGGTTAGTAAGGGAATATTATCGGAACGAAAGCACATAACAATATACTGTGCATAGGCGTATAGTTAGCACCCTCAGTCTCTCAAATTTTTAAAGAGTACTTTGTAATAATATTAACCATTATTGAAAAAAAACACGTACAAGAAATGATAATAATTTAAATTGAGAAGAACCGTAGAAATGGGGGTATTCAAAAGGTGGTAGAGTGGTGATGTATTTAGTGGTTTACTAAATCATATTACATAAAATTAAAAAAAAGAAATTTTAATACTATTTAGTAGGTTGCAGTAAGTAGATCAGCGATGATAGTAATGACAAAAGTCTGCAGCACTACTTCAATGTTATATAATATTAAAACCTATGTATAAAATGTAACATCATTTTACAAATTCATAACTGAATACAGTGACGTTATTTCTAACATAGGTGTATTGACGCCATCAAGTTGTCGACATACAATCAGCTAGCAACCAATCTAGAGATTGACAAGGCGATGGTCTTCTTACACAATCGCGAGGTGGGAATGGCTATCAATTCCTTAAACGTCTTCGAGAACCAAGATACAAAAATTAATAGCTCTGCATTAACTGTACTATCTTTCATTTATTTTCTTGTAAGTGAATGTGCAAATATTCATAATAACTAATACATTAAGTAGAAGATTTATATCAACATATTTTTGTTTCATACGGATGTACTATACCTGTTATGGTTGAATAATTTAGCAGGGTGAGCTAAAGCTGGCAGAAAGGTACGCCGAGTTGGCAAAGAGCAGGGACAATTATAGTGCTGCTGCCTACGTCAATTTGTCAGCCTGCTCCATTGCAAGGAACGAGCTGGAAAGTGCCAAGGAGTATTTGCTAAGTGCCCTGGAGAATGATCCAAACCACGTTCAGGCACTATACAATCTTGGTTGGTAAACACTTAATTTTATCTACATCCTTAATAAATATTTACTGTTTGATAACTAAATCATCCTCAATAATGATCCATACAACAGAACTGTGCAGTGAGCTTGTATTGGAATGTACAAAGAAATGTAACTTACAAAGTTGACTTCACTTTGTCTAAAGATACTAAAGTCTAAGACGTTTTTTACTTTTACGAATGGATAGTTAAATTTACCGTAACATTAATTTCGTGACTTTTAAGAACTCCGTCAATAAAACTAATTTTACTTTAAAGTATAAGGATAGACAACTTTAATATGTTGGATATCTACCAAAAAAAAAAAAAAAAAATGTTAATCTAATACAGTGTTACATGATACAGTAGTTATTTTAGTAGCAGAAACCATAATAATATTGAATGCCTTTTTATATATGTATAGTGTTTCTAATGTAACTTATTCGAAAGTATTTAAAGAAAGAAAAGATTGCAAAACCCATGAGATCAATGAAAAAAAGTTAAATTCTTAAATTCATATTACAACTCTTGCAGTACCTGAGCAAGATTAATATCTTATCCCAAAGAAAAACATGTCAGTATTTGGCAAAATTATTAAACCTGTATATCTATATACCTTCATGTTTGTGATATTGCGTTATTTAAATAATTTTTAGGGGTATGTTTGAGGAAAAGCATAAAAAATATATTCAACCTCTCTGTAATAATTTTGCAAACATAATGAAATCTTACAAATAAATAAAGCAAAAGCGCTAAAACCGTTGTAATCGCTAACCGCGAAAACTACTGAACCGATTTTGTTGAAATTTTGCACACTGATTCATGATACTTCCTAGATGGTTTTAGAATAGTTTTTATCTTAAAAAATTTAATAACAATAGCAATAAATGAGCTCGAAAATTTGAAAAATTCGCCAGCTTTTCACTTTAGTTCAGTAAAATCCGCTAGGTGGCGTCGACATAAAATCGAAGCTACCTGCAACATAATTAAATAAGTGAGGTTATAATAGGCTGGAGCGTCTCCATAGTATTGTAGTCGAGCTTCGGCAATTCAACGAGCTGTATAGAGAATGCTGATGATAGTCTTGCAGCTGGGTATCCCGGTTACGGACGACACTCTTCTCTAAGGGGGAAGGGACCTAGGATTCCATTCACCCTGAATCTCAACGAGTGTAATCAATTAAAAAAAAATTAATTCCAACCGATGCCGTCTCTGCCACAATACCAGGAGACATATCTAGCCAGAGCACAATCTGCTCCAACTCATCAGAGTTGCGTGGTGGTTCCACCATCCCACCTGTGCAGTTAAAGAATTTGTGGCTACAAATGGAAGCAAGGGAAAACAGCTCTGAGGGGCATGGGCAGCCACAACGGCTACCTTCTTGTTCGTCGCGTTCCCAATGCGCTTACTCACATGTTCCCGTCTAACGATGAGCGGTTGGTTATCCGGGGAACGACCCAAGACGAGATATTCTTTGGTCAGCGGCGTACCTCCCTCCATCACAGTCTCCGTACATCGAGACTCCCACAGTAAGAATCAAGCAACCGTAGCCAGCTCTTCATCATCAGGAATAATGATAAAGAACAGCCTGGAAGTTTCACCACTGGCGCTTTTTAGGCCCATTATAAGTATTTACGTTCCCTACTTAACCATCAATTTCATCGGTTCTTTTTAGAATCCACCTAAGTGTAAACTACCTTGCCAACAACTACATTTTTATACCCATTTCCGAAAGCGATTCGTCGACTAAAAGAGTATATTAACTAAAGACGGGCACTATCAAACCAAGTCAGCCATTCACTAGCAGACGTCACCTGCGGAGTTTTTCTTCGCAATTTTGGAAAACCCGGTGACCGACGACCCTATACTACCCTCTCGACTCTAAGCATTCAACCAGGAATCACTGATCCTCTCCAAGGTCTGCGTTGGGCAAACCTATAACAGCTATGAAGGAAAAAGAACTTGAGCCAACGGGACAGCCTCCACTGGACAAGTATCACTAACCAATCTCCCTATCTAAGATCACCAAAACAACTGAATCTGCACATAAAAAAGGTGCTTTAGACACCAACGACTTCGACGTTATACCGGGAGACGTTGGGTAAGAGCACTACAACTAGCCCCAAAGCTTCAGACTTTGTCATTTTTTCCCCAATCAGTCTGGGTCTTCAACAGCAAGCCAGAGAAGATCACCCTGAGGTATCCAGGCAGTCAAGAAAGAGTTAACTTAAGAAGCTCACCGGTCTTTTTTAGGACCATCGGACGTTGAACTACCTTGCCAACAAATATATTAGAACTTAACAAAGTTGACAGAAAACAACCTTTAGGGGTCACACAAATTTTAAGCATGCCTAAAGTCGCAAGAGGGTGAATTGGAAGAAAAACTTCAAGTGTATTTTATAAATACAATTTTACTTAGGCGTCAAGAAACTGACGCAGAAAATTTATCGAGATTGAAACAGCAACGTCAAAATCGACAACTAAAGAGTCCATTACGTGATAGATCAGCTTTTCATTGTACCCTGACAGCAATCTCTGAAATCTTTAAAGATCCTACTTCAGATTTTTAATGAGTAGAAAATGTATTTGTGTTTTTGTGGCAATAAAAATGTAGGGTTTAAGGTCCAGGACTTTGTTGCTCTGAAGTCGTACCATATAATTTTTTTTAGCTTCATGGGCCTATGTTATAACATAGGCCGATGTACAGAAAAATAGTTATATGGTACGGACCCAGGTAATAAAGTTGTGAGATATGAGAAAAAATTTTTTTTTTTAATATAAATTTTTTGGGGGTTTAAAATCTTAACAGCTTTAAAAACTAGCCCTTTTCTTGAATTACACGGGAGAAACTATAAATCAACGGCTTCTTATGGCCACCGATTATTTTATGGCATAAAGAACGCACGGTACTTTTCAGCATAATTATTTTTTTAAATTTTCACTCACTATTTGACCAAATAAACTATATGGATTCTGAAAAAATATGTTTTCAATAAGAAGATTTTTGTTCTGAGATGTATCAGGAATATGTGTAAAATTTCTAACTTAAAATGTTTCACATTACATGTCAACACACTACGGTGTTTTATTTAGTATGTCTCGGGCAAAGCCGAGACGGGGGGCTGCTAGTTTCTCCTAAAACTGTTCACCTCAATTTCATAGAAAAATATCCGTAACACAGAACTTTGAGATTACGTTTTCTTGTAATAAAACATTTTACTATTTGTATGCTGCATTGTTTATTTATTCCCAAAAAACCGTAAAAATCATTATTTTTGGTATATCTTTCTTTCTTTCGAAGATATTGCGTATTTTTGTAATTTTGGGGGTTATATGACATAACCGTATAAAATTATTTTGCATGATTTTGATTCTGTACTAATCACTATACAGTTTTTAAAAAAAATTTTTAACAGAATTTAATGCTTTTTTTATGCATCTTGTTGTTGTTTTTTTTTTTTAATTTTAGAAAATCTGTACAAATTTTTATTTTTGATCCATCTTCCTTCCATTTTTAAAATATATCGTGTTTTCAATTATTTGAAGGTTACGACAAGTTCTAAAAACATTTCGAATCAATGTTGGCTGTTGGCAATGATTTACCATGCATCCAACTTTTTTTGTGGTAATTTAATTTATTAAAATAGTAACTAGCCGATGTGTGAATTATATATACACATACATGCACGCTTCTACACAATAACACAAGTTACACATGTATTCATATGCGTATGCTCAATTGCTTACGCGCATACACTACGCAAACGGTATACAAAATACTATACACTGGTTATATCTTCCTATATTATATAGTGATTTTAGAGGGCCATTCTGTTCCCCCTCCACTCCTCCTTGGCCCCCATCAGTACCGCCTCAGCCATCCTCTAAAAAGGTAAAATTCTAACAGTTTTTACGTTATTTTTGTTGGGCTAAGCTTTCAGTTAGCCCCCCTCAACCCCTTCTCCACCCCCTCTCAGCCCTTCTCGAAGTAAGGTAAAATTCTATCAGTTTTAACTATATTTTTATTGGGTTAAATTTTTGTTTAATTACTTTTTGCACGCCCACTCTCAGCTTTCCTAACACTTTTTAAGAAAACCTCACAGCCTCCTCACAATTTCTTAACAGCTACTTATCACTACTTCTTAGCTCTGCGTGATTATTTCTTATTCGTGGAATGTTTATGTAATAATTATCCTAGCTGTATGATTTTTTATCACATTCCTATATTGTCAGTTTTGACATTATTTTTATTGAGTTGAATTTTGGTTTAGTCTGTTCCACCCTCTCCTCATAACCTTATAACCTAATAACCAGATAATCCAACACAATTTTGAAGAACTTCTTCTAGTTACCCTTCAACCGTATCTCTAAATGAGGTAAAATTTTATCAGTTTTATATCATTTCTAGTTATATGACTATTTGCACCTTCTGTCCCAGCTTTTCTTATAGTTTTAAGAAAGCTCCTGGTTTCTAGCACATTAGCACATTTCCACACCACCGTTGAGGTAGTGCTATGATGCTCTGGTTTTTTTCCCAATTTTTTTTAAAGCTTATTAATTGATTATTGAATATGTATAAGGATATGACATTATATATTTATACTTTATTAATAACGACGAATAAACTTATAAAATGTTGAAACCATAGACCTTGCTCCTAGCCCTATTTACCTCAATAAGATATAAATTATATTTATTGAAATATGTCAAATAATGTGCATCATCATGAAACAATGTTTAAATAACAATTTCATTGATTTAATACATTTATTTATAGTTTAAATGAACTGGGCTAGAGTATTTGGTACAATTTTATACTTTTGCTAACGTAAAAAAATTAAATTTTTTGTATCTACTTTGGATTATTTAACATCAAAGATTTCTTTCTAAACAATATTTTCTATTGCTGAATTATAATCACGTTTTATTAGAATAGAAACTCCATTTTTATTTTTACATCTTGATGATTCGACGTATAATCGACCATGTGAAAACAACGATTTTTT